GAGAACTTAACAGCTGATACACTGTCAAGAGCATGCTGTACGGCATCAAGCGGGACGAACTCCGAACGCTACATAACAATCTCTGTCACCCGGCATTACTCGAATGGTTCATGCTGTGAGGTGTAGAAACTTGCCTTTCTCAGTGGAGGAGGTAAAAGAATTACAAATTCTTGTCGAACGTGTGCTGAAATAAAGCCTCGGTTTTATAAACCACAAACTGGCGTTTTAATAAAAGCAACACAACCGTTTGAAAGACTCAATCTTGATTTTAAAGGACCGCTACCAAGTAAAAACAAGGAAAAGATATATATTAACGGTTATCGACAATATTCACGGTTTCCTTTTTGCCTTCCCTTGTTCAGACATATCGGCTGCTGCAATTATACAATGCCTCTGCTCACTGTTCGCCATCTTTGGAGCCCCTGCCTATATACATTCGGACCGAGGGGCTTCTTTCATGTCAGAGCAGCTTCGCAATTTCTACAGGAATGAGGAGTAGCTATAAGCCGGACAACTCCCTACAACCCTAAGGGTAATGGCCAATGCGAAAGATATAACGGCATTATTTGGAAGACCGTTCAATTGGCCACCTCAAATAACGGATGTTCAATTGATAATTGGGAAAATCTCCTTCCTGTCGCATTATACGCCATTCGTTCCCTATTGTGTACCGCCCACGAATGCCACCCCACACGAAAAGGTTTCTACCTTTTCAGCGACGGAGTTTGGCGGAGCTTCGCTTCCATCTTGGCTCTCTCAACCCGTACTGTGTTTCTGAGACGACATGCACGTTACACCAAGAACGATCCCTTGGTGGACGAGGTAGAGCTTATAGAGGTGAACCCTCAGTACGCGCTTAGTACGACATGCAGATGGTAGAGAGTCTAATGTGTCTCTCAGGGACCTAGCACCGGCCGGAGACGATACCCGGAGTGTGGATAGCCCCTGAGGACAGACCAACTACCCCTGACACTGAAGCCCCTCCGAAGATCATGGCACTGAAATTGTTCCTGACACGCCGCCTGACGACACTGTCTCCGTTGAGGCCCCGTCAGACACTTCGGATGGGCCAACACCTGAAACCCTGACAGATGAAGGGCTAGCACCGAATAAAACGTGTTCATCCAGAGACTGACTCTGACGCAGAACGGCCTGCTCCTCTGAGAAGGAAACATTTCGAGCAAGGTATTTTAGAGCCCACAGACAGGCTTCGACTGAAGAGCCTCCCTGACCACGGTATCATGGACTGCCGAGGCGGCCATGCGAACTCGTGAGGGAGCCTGGACTTTTAATGGACTTTCTTCCCTATCAGTGAGAAATTTGGTGGGGAGAATGTTGTGAATATGGATTATCTCCTCTTAGATAATCCAAGCTATAAAAGCTGTATACTTCCTTTGTCAAGTCAGATGAGTAGTAGTATTCTTAATTGAATAAACGATTACTAGACAGAATCTCTTGTCCTGTTTTCATTACAGGTAATATATCAAGTGTAATGGCTTACTGACTTTCTCAGGTAAATCAATAAAATCCGTCAGATCTTTTACATACCTGGGAAGCAAAATAAATTCTAGGATATGAAAATTTGCATAGCTAAAGCTTGGGTCACCTTGAGTAAAATGGATGCAATCTGGAAATTTGATCTACCAGACAACCTCAGAGATTCTTTTGAGCAACTGTAGAAGCAGAGTTACTGTATGATACCACTGCTTGGACATTAACTAAAACCTGAGAGTCTAAATTTGATGGAACGTACACTTGCTGAGAGTTACACTTAACATCTCTTGGCGACAACATCCAACTAAATCACAACTCCTTGACCCATCACAAGATGTTTCTACAATCTTACACAAATGCAGAATGCAATTTGCAGGACACAGCTGGCAAGCAAAACAAGAACTTGCAAGTGATCTACTGCTCTGGACACCTAGCCATGGTGAAAGATGGGTTGGTTGCTTAGCAGCTGCCTACATTGACCAGATATGTTATGACACAGAATCACACTCTAATGACCTTCCAACTTTGATGGTTGGCATAATAGGCTCCTGAATGTCTGAGTTAGCTTGACCAAATAATAATGGCTTACTAAAGTAATTTTGGTGACCAAAAAAAAAATAATTGTTTATTAGTAATTGTTGAAGGATATTTTAAGTGTTCATAAGTAAAAAAAAAAATAGATTTATTTGCTGGAGACAGCTAGAAATGCAGAATGTCCATCAAGTTAACATAGTTTATTTTCCTCAGAAGAAATGATTATGCACCAAAATCAAAATGCTAACCTCTTTGGAGGGCTCCAGCAGCAACCATTACAGGAAAGCCAAGAATTTCTTACTTAATGCTAAACAGTAGAAAAAAAAATATAGAAAAGAGACATAAATTTGTCACACTCCAGTTTAAATAAGTGATATTGTTTCCAATGGCAGCACCAGAGTTAATCTGTATTTTGGAGGAACTAGATTGAATACCTAGTTAAATATGACACAACACCTTTTAATTTGAAGTTAGTATTTTTTTTTTTCTATGCAGAGTAGCAAATCATACCAGCTTGACATTGGAGAGAGAATATGAAATCCTCTTTTTATCAATTAAACAAATCCTGAAAATGTTCATTATGGTAGAAGCAAAGGTTGTATAAATTGAAGATTGTTTAACAAGAATGTAGATTGTGGTTTAAAATTAATTTTTTGTTTAATTTTCAGTATAAGCACCAAAAGCCCTCGCTATTGAGAATGCACCATTCTGGTGTGAAGTTTCCTAGTTATTTTGAAAATGATGTTAAAACATTGCACTTGATTACCGTTTTCAATTTATCATCAATGTAAGTTCAAGCTCTTTTGTTTTGTCCAGCTACCATTACTGACATTGTTTATATATGTTTTCTTCTAGTGGTAATGCGCAGAAGCTTACTTAGTTAACAGCCTTTTTATGGCTTTTCGCATCTTACTGGTCTTGATTACTGCATGATTTTCATGGATGTTATTTTCAAAATGAACTTATTTTTTAAAATGAAATTTTAAATGAATAGTGTTTTTTTTTTATTGTCCTTAATAAATCTGCTTATTGCTAATGAAACAGAATTGCACCATAAAATGTAATTTATGAAGCTTTAAATTCAAGAAACTTTCATGACACATAAAAAAAAACATCGTTGAAAAGGAAAAATCCTTTTTTTTTTTTTACTTTTCAGGCATATAATTTTGATTTTAGTTGTCAGATTTTACGTTTTTTTGTGCATTATTTCACGCATTCATTTTAAACTTCACACATTGCGCAGTAATCAAGACAAGTGAAGCTTCTGCACTGCATGACTACTTGAGGAAAACGTATGTAAACAAAGCCATTAATGGCGGATATTCTGTGTACACAAGAAAGAAGTCGAACTTACATTGTTCATAACTTTTAACCTGTAATCGAGTGCAATGTTTTAATGTTATTTTCAAAATAACCAGACAATTTCACACCAGAATGGTACATTCTCAATACCAGGGGCTTTTGGTGCTTATTCTGCAAATTAACCAATTTTTTTTTTCTTTTGAAATTAACACAAGATGAAAATATAATTTTTTACCTCATGTAAAAATTTAATTTTATAATAACCAAACATTTTGTGCAAAAAAAAATTTTAATTTTTTCTAGAAGAAAGAACGTCCATTTTCTTTTCCTGAATGTGCTTTAAAAAATGGGCAAACAGTAACAAAAAGTCAAAATTACCTCGTGAAATTTGAAAGTTACAAACAGTTATTAAACTGATACAAAATATTTTAACAGTACAAATTTTACAAAAATGGCTTGCACAAAAATTTCCTTTCATGCACCTTATTAAGAACAAGGCAAGATAACATTACAAAATTATAGAAACAATTGACTCTAAGAAAAATTCACAATACAAATTTTTTCAAATCGAGAAAGAAAAAAACGTTTTTATAAAAAAAAAAAAAAAAAAAAAAAAAAAAGGGTACACCCACCTAATAGTGAAGTGAAAAATCTACAAGTTTTTTTGGTGATAACCCCAGGGAGATATCTTTTGCAATTTCTTTGTTTTTGAAGTTTCCCATTTGTGGTTGGGTTAAAGGGGCTCTTTGTTCTTCTTTTTAGTCAGTGTAATTTTTAAGAAGGCCAAGATTTTTCTGCTCTTATCTCTTTTCTCATGATGAAGCCTTTGTCCCATCCACAGCTGACTTTGTTCACATGAAACATTTAATTTCTTTTTGCTTGACATATCACTTTCCTTATTTCTTAGCTAACTTTCGATGCTATCTATCAGCTGACCCATGTTAAGTACCCTTGAGAGTGGCTCAATGAACCTTGACTTTAAATTTACAATGACAAAAAAAAAGCCACCTTTTTCATTGGACAATAAATATGAGGGTATTACTTCTTTTTTTTTCCTGAATTTGACAAATGAATCTCCAAGCAGTCCATCATGCAAATAAAAAGAAAAAAATATTTAATTTTTACACAAAATGAAAATTTTTACTATACCGTCTATATTTCTTTTAATATACTTCTCCCAAAAGTAAGTGTATATAACAAATTCAGACTATTTAACATTTATTTCTACTCACACGTTTTATTAATTATTTTTTAAAATTATTTTACAGTAACTAATAAAAAAAAATGTTATACTTTGTTCTCTCTTAACCAAGCTGAAATAGAAATAAATGTAGTAGTTACTAATCAACATTAAAATCTGAGATTTTCTTAAAAAATGTCAGTGGTAAAGTTACCAAACTGAGTGTATCCTGTGATTGATATGAATTTCAAACTTTTTTAAGCTAGCTTACATCCATGATATGATGGTCCTGAAGTTTTATTGTACTGTTTTATAATATGTAGGATACAAATAATCAGATAACCACCATAAAAAATTCCTTAAAAAATAAAAGATAAAATGATACTATGTGACGAGGATCTTTTATCACATGTCTTTCTGAAATATGTTTAGCATAGCACACACACACACACAAATTGGAAGAAATAGACAATGCCCTATATTACTTGGCATGAAACGAAAAGATGTAAATAAAGTTATGAAAATAAATAGTCCAAGTGGAGAAAGTATTTTTGTTTGTTAAACTTTTTTTAATTCACTTGACACTTTGCTTACCGTTCTTATCAATTCTCTACTAGCTAAATTCAATAAATGTAAATTTGGTCATAGTTTCTTTTTTTTTTTTAATTAAAAATATTTTGAATTAGAAAAAGAGACTTATTTGACATTTCCTATCTTCGATTTAATTAATTGATAGAACAGATTAATTATTTTGAGTTGTTTTTAAATTTTATTTTTAATTTATTTTTATTAGGAAGAACATTCCAGTGTTTGTATGAATAGTTGAAACATCTACTACAGTTTAAAAAAAAATGTAAGAATTGGCGTTAGTCAAGTGAACAGGAAACGTCTATACTATTATCTAAGTTTAGTTGACTTTTACAAAAGGCCAAACATCTGTTTTATGAATTGGCGCTGTTGATTTCATTACGAAATGAATAAGAGAATAATAAAGAGAACGGTTTATAAGAAACTTCCGGTATGAAATAAAGGAATAGTGGAATAAGTAATAAACGAACACATCGATGCAACAACAGTCAGACATGTTGTAAACACTGACAACGAAAATCGTTGTTTGTGTTTACTTTAACGTTTCTTTTGTTTTAAAATCTTTACATTTTTGTTATTAGTTTGTTTTTCTTCTTTTGAATATTATAGATATCGGTTATGTCGTCTTATGAAAGAATGGACGACGACGAGTTTGCTCGAATCTGTTCAGATGATCAAAAGATGAACGTAATGTACAGTTCATTGCGAGACAAATCGGTGAATCCACAATCCTGGCAACAAAAGATGAATTTTTGGCAAGAAGCCATCACTCGCCACTGCCACCAGTATGGATTGGTCATCATCGAACAGGCTAGTCTGGCCAAGCAGTTGACTCGTAACGGACGGACCCCTCAGTGCCTAGACGCAGTCATTGCAGAAATGAAACGGTAAGTCTCTTCCTTTCTTTCTCTAGCAAATGAGGAACTAAAATGTGTGATGACATAATGTTAACATTTTTAGTTTAAACTTTAGTTAGATTGATTAGGTTTGCGATGTCCTCTTTTCGATTAGAAAAAAATGTAATTAAAAATATGATTTTTAGTTAGCTCTTGATAAAGGAAAAGGTCATATTTGTTTGCGTTACCATCTCAACTAAACTTGTTGGAATCTCTCTAATTCTTTAGACTTCATTTATTTAAACAGTCTATTTTTTATTTGATAAGGAAAAAAACTTTTTAAATAATAAACTAAATTTGATAATCGTCTTTCTTGGCGACCTCGACGGTTAACACGTCCAAAATTGATTAGTTTTGTTTTTTTTTACATCAAAAATACTAAACTAAAGTGGATTTTTCTAAGTGCGCCCACGTTGCTACCGTATATGACACAAGGCCGAGATTTAAAGTGGGTTTAACGAAAAATAATAATAAAGCTCAAGCCTCGAGGAGCCACACCCTCTCCTTCAGGAGGGGGCTTATTGGGTCATTATCCGGTGCCTGAGGAATCCCCAGACCAAAAGGAAAAGTGTCAAGCAAGAGGGCTTGAGGAAATTTTTTCACGGTATTGAGTTTTTGCATCATAAATACGAATAAAGAACGAATTTAAAAAAATTTCACTAGTTTCTGTTTAACACTTTTTTTTCGACCGTATAATTTTCAAAAATAAAAGAATCATGCGAATTTTACTTTTATAAAAAAAATTACTGGTACCTAAAAAAAGAGCATACCCTGATGAAAAAAGGCCCCAAACTTCATGAAAACAAAATTTTATCGTTAAAAAATGTTTATTATTGAGAGGAAAGACCAAAGTAATTTTTTTTTTTTCTTTTTTTTTTTTTTTTTTTTTCTTTAAATTTTTTAAAATCTTTTCTAGCCCGTTCGAAATTTGGGTTAAAAAATAAAAATCTTGTTTTTCTTGCGGTCAGCGGGTGGGCCAAAAAGATAGAGATTTTTGGCCTTAAGGAACACATTGTTTTGGAAATGTTAGCAAAGATCAACTAATTGTCGGATTTTAGTATTAAATAATTTAATTAGTAAAAATAAATGATTTTTTTTTTGTATCTTATCGGGTGTTCTCACTAACAAAAACCGTGATAGTTTGGAACTCTAAAAACTACAAGTCACCAATAGATTTTATTAAATTTCAAAAGATAAAGGAAGATTACAGGTGTATTCGATTCCTGTATATTTGCATTTCTTTTTTTTTTTTTTAATTTCAGATTTAATTTAATTAAATTAATATAAAAATTAATATGCTAATTTGATAAAGATTCGGCTATAAAAAATGAATAATTTTCTAGGAAAATCTATTTTCCCGATGTAGTTTCTTCTGTTCTTTTCGATTTGGGATGTTATTTTTATTTCCAATAATTTGAAATTCAAAAGTGAAAGCGAGCGAAGTGGATCTAAACTAAAAAAAGTAGGTGTTCAATAATGACAATGTTACATTATTTTATTATTGTCTAACTGGACACTTGCTTCCAGTTTTGAAATATAAATTTTCTAACAAATTAGTATTTTCCCAAAGAAATAAAACTAATTTTGAAAAATCAAACTAAATTGGAAAAATACATATTTCATTGAAAAATATTAATTTTAAATTTAAATAGACCGAATCTTTACCAAAAATATTGATAATATTGAGAATTTTTTCTCCAAAATTCCAAATGAAATTGTAGAAAAACAATCTCCAATATTTCTTACAAATTTTCTTAAAGTTAAAAACAAAATAAAATTGAAGAAAAAAATACCTTCTAAGTTGAAAAATAATTCCCCACTTCCCCCTCGTGAAAATAGTGTGAACTAATTTTAATGTATAGATTTTTATTTGCTAAACCCTCCCCCAACTTAAATGCATTCCTCAACACTCTGGTGATGGGTTTGCATGAAGCATACATGCAATTCCATGTATTCACCACAGAATTCAACATGCTTAATACATCATTTTTCAAGTTTATTTACTCCCCCCACTCCCAATCTGATGTTTGATCGTTGAAATACTATTCAGTTGCTGTCAACACTTCCAAAACATTAAAAAAAAATTCTTCCCTTTCAAACTCCTTTTAAGGCTTGGAAAGAGGAAATAGATGGAGCAAGATTTGGTAAGTAGCATGTTTAAGTCTATATACTTCAAATACTTTAAAAGTACCAGCCCTGTGCATTTTCTTGCAAAAAGAAAGAACAACTCTGTAGCTTCCCTTATTGGTTTTCTTTCAACATCTTTTATTGGCACAGCAAGTTAGAGTAATAATTTGCCATAACTGTTTAGCCCTTCTGAAGATTCAGTCATCAAGATACTTTCCTTAATCCCCAAAACTATGAGTATGACCTTTCCTGCTGAATTTTTTGTTTTGAATTTCTTCCGTTATGGAGAACTCAAGTGTTACCCCTGTTTAAATTGTTGTTTTTTCTCTGGTTCATAATGGTGTAACAATGTTTCATCAACAATGACATGCTAAAAAACTCAAACAATTCTCAGTAGATCACTGAAAATGCTGCAAAATCAACCCTGAAGTTGATGTTGTTTTCAAGTTGACATTCAAACATTTTGGCAGCTATTTGGTTGATAGCTTCTGCATAGCCAATTGCCTATGAATTATAAACCTAACATATTCCCTGCTCTGGTTACCTTTTAGAGTTTCAGCAATTGAACCAACTTACAAATCTCAACCAAAAAGAGTTGAACATGATTGAAAATTTCATTTGAGGTCATTGAAGAGTTCCTCTAACCATGCTGTATCTTTGATCTCAAAATGTCTGGTCTGGAAGTTGGCACACATATTTTTTAGTTGAATATAATATGTATTTGTCATCATAATGTTTGTATCATATGCTCATGAATGGAATTTTCTTCTGCAGGAATATGAATTTCATGACAGCTCAGAGTTCAACACTTAAAATTCTACACTTTCTGTTGATATCAATAATCAAATTATGACTGTCCTGCAAAGTGGTACCTTAAAATTTACTGTATTTACTTTTTAGCACCTTCTCATGTTGTAAATGTTATTAAGCCTATAGCAGATGTTTAGTAAAATCAAAATCCCTTTTTTTTTTCCACTAGCCATCCCCCCCCAATCAAGATATTTATTTCATATCTTAAATCTTTTCTCAAAAACACTTTATCAGAATGATGTGTTTGAACAGTGATCAAATTACAAAAAACATTAAATTTGTGATTAAATAACCATGTGTGATTTAGAACCTTTACAATTGAGAATTAAAATTAAAGAAATAGAATATTTACTTTCTAAGGCAAAAAAGTCATGTCATCTTCATATGCTGCCAAATAAGCAGTGTCTTTTTTTTTTTTTTTTTTTTTAAAGTATGTATTTCTTTGCCCCCTCAAAAGAGAAAATGTAACACAAGTGCAATAAGTGGATACTGTCTGGAGGAGAGATATCTTCTTGGCTGGGTTGGGAACTTTTCAGTACATTTTGTATATCAACATGTGAACTTGAGTAAAACTAGAACTACTTCTATGCAATATTAATTAAAAAAATTAATATCAGCTTAGGTTTTTAATGCAGTTCATAGTCACTTGAAATATAAAAAATAGTGGCCTAGCAAAGCTGAACAAAAGTATATATTGTATTTATCGCTTCTGTGGCATAATAGTTATTTCAATTGCACATGCATTTCATACACTTATGGAAACTTATGGGACAGGGATATGAATATTTTTAACAAAGAGAATGTTTCTCAGTATAATCTGCAAAATCAACTTGAGTTCTTTTTTCTTTTCTTTTAATTCTGGGTGATTTACAAAAATGCTAGAAAAATTGGTCTTAATGATCCTGATATTATTTTGTTTATATGTACACATTTATTTATTTTTATTTTAGTTTGCTCTATGGTGACCATGAGACCATTCATTAATTTTCCAAAACTTTAATAATTTTTTGAAATTTCAGTCAAGTGAATACAGAATAATTGAATATTTGTTTTTAGTAAACTATATTACCTCTTGATGAATTTATGAAAAATAATAGATAGATACACAAAAATAAAGTCAATAGAATTCTTCTCTCTCTCTCTCACACACACACACACACACACACACACACACTAGTCTAGTGCTTTTGCTTTTCTTAATAGAGCATCTTACAGTACCCATATAATCATACTTCTTTCTTATTAGTTGAAAATTTGCCAATTTAAATATAGGAATAAATTTTTAGATTCAGCCAGATCCATTACAAATTTAATATATCGTTTCTAGTTTCACTATGAAAGAAAAAGGTTTTCAGTTAATAAAATATTAATTTCATACATTTCAGCCTTATTGCAATAGATTCAAACTATTTGAGATTTAAATATAAAATATAGATATTTAAAAATATTCATGAAATATTTTAAATTTTCTTGTATAAATTTTAGAGAAAAGATCATTTACCCTATTTCTGAAAAATATATACTCTTGGCAGTGAATTAATGTTGAAGAAATAAATTTACTATAAGATAAGCAATTTTTACATTATTAAGATTTTTTTTTGCTGATTGTATGTTGTTAAATATTAAATTATAAATTCTCTATAAAATGTTTTTATAATGGAATCAGTGCTTATTTTTTATCAACAATGATTATTTTTCAGTAATTTACTGATATGTTTGGATTTATATTTGCACTTGTTAGTAAACACTGATGTATTTTTCTTATACTATTAAATGACATGTTTTTGTATTGAGCCTTTGTATGGCAAATTTATTGCTTATTCTTGATGAAAACTAGCAAAGCTGAATGTGTGTGTGTGTGTGTAAACACTCATTAATCTTAGTCCAGTATCCTAGGTTTTATATTAAACTTGGAAGACAGCCACATTTTTCTCATCTCTCTTTCCTCATACACTCACATATAATAAATTGATATTAAGTTAATATTCCCAATTACTTCACCTTCCAAATAACCAGTCTTTTATTCATATGACCTTCCTCTATAACAATGATTA